GATGTTTCGCAGTGAAAGGCAGATCGTCTCAGAGAGACTGAATCAGGTCACTCTCGCCACCTTTCTGCACCTGCTCTGCTTGGCCTCCCAGTCAAAAAGGCTTCGTCAGGCTCCTGACACGCAGCTCGTGACCCCACAACCCCACCTCACCCTAAATTGAAAACAAATACAATATTAAGTTATGAAACAATACCTGGGAAGAATTACATGAAGGTATAATCCAAAAAGTGCATGATTGAAAATGGATTAGTGGGGAGGGGGGGACGCAAGGCGCACAGTTGGGTGGATTTGTACTTCGCTCGCGGGCTGAGCGTCGTCTGCCTCGGGCTGATTGGGAATCAGGGCCATTCCCTTCAGATTTACGTGCCGCGTCGTGCGATTTGGGATTTACTTTCTTAACAGGCGCCAACCAAATCCATCCTTGTTGTGTGCTGCATGTTTGTCTAAGTGTGTGTGTGTGTGTGTGTGTGTGGTGTGTGTGTGTGTGTGTGTGTGTGTGTGTGTGTGTGTGTGTCTGTCCGTCAGAGTCACGCCTCGGTGCTTTCAGCTGGATGCTTTTCTGATAGGCAGCGGCTTCCTCGGCCAAGCTTTTCAGCTCTGGGCTCGAATAAACACCGGTTCTGTTTCTCATTTGAATAAGTGTACGCTCCCATTACTCTCTCCAGGAATAAACACGCAGGGACAAACCGAGCGCCTGGTCTGGAGTTATTTTGAGGGCACGAGGAGTGGCCACTGGGGTCAGTTCCTGTCGCTAACGACGATGATGACGAACAGTGTGGTCTGCTGCTCGGCCAGATTAGCTTTCGTCAATAACATATCGCCAATTTGTCCTGGCAGGATATGCGGACAGAAATATCGGTTACTGTAAGTCACGGTGGGAACTGAATCCCGTTGGCTAATTTGCGGCATAATTAGCTCGCGAGGATGAATGAGGGGCCACGATTGGATACCGTTCACAACCAGAAAGTCTTGTCGGCTTTCAGTGGGAATTGATTTATAAAAGAGAGCGAGGAATGCTTTATTTGATTTATTTTAAGCTTTTGTTTAAGTTATAGAAAACCCTGTAAGGCTACACTTAGCCAAGGTCATTCGTGCCTCACAGACTTTGATTCATCTGGGGGGAAAAAAAAAATTACTTGTTGAAACATGTAAAGAAAAAAGTACCCCTTTTATTAGTGCTAAATTATAATTTTCCAATAAAAAGACACAGATATGCATATTTAAAAAAAGAAAAAAATGACACAAGGGTGGTTTGTAGCCAAACAACAATTGTTGTTTCCCAGGCTTTTAAGGTAAATGGCAAAAATCCAAAGAGAACACTGTTTGTTGAACTTCTTCCTCTTCAGATACCCCCGTCTTGTTCTCCGGCCGGCCAGCGAACAATGGGCGTTGAAATCAGTTAGATTAAGCACATAGCCTATCGATTGGCCCCTAAATTGCTGTGTGATACAACACAAATAATCCCATCTCAAGTACCAGCACTTCTTTCTAATGGTTTCCAAATTATCTGAGGCAGGAATGGATCACAATTAGTTTAGAATCTACGGGCGGAGAGTGGCCATGCATGCCAGAGTGGGATTGTCTACTTGTCAGTGCTCTGCGGTTGACATTGCCATCCTCTGGCCACCTTCCTTTGTCCTGCCTGATGGTCTTTTTTTCTGCTATTGCAAAGATATTAAGTCAGTGCAGGTATACAATAGGCAGATTGCAACTAAATAACTTTATCTCAGTGGAAAGTTAAAGGATCTGTCTGGGACAAAGTCTGCGCGTGCCTTTCTAACTTCAGAACAAAATCGTGAGAGAAAAGTCTTGGTTCTGAAACCAGAGGATGTTGAATTAGAGTAGCAGTGGATTTCATCCGTGGTAGAATCATCCTACCATCCCAGCTGGGAAACCTTGCGATCTCTCTCCCCAGAGACACAGTTCGGCTCATTTCAGAGAATTTCAAGGTTCTCCCAGGCCAGAAGGAATGCGTGGCCCCTCCAGAACTTCCTGGTCTGTCCCTGGCTCCCAGGAGGGGGGGGGGCATCCGGATCAGACGCGTGAACCGGCTCAGCCATCACTTTTCGGTGTGCAAGAGCAGCGGGCTTACAGTGAAAGCACATTGCAGCGACATGAATCTATCATCTGGTTGTTGTTTTTTTTTTTACTTTAGTCATGAACCATACCTCATAACCACAGAACAAACAGACCCGTATAATGACAGCATCACAATTTGGCTCAGCTTCTCCTTCACAAGAGATCAAAATCATGCCTCTGTTCAGATGCATTTCCAAATCCTCACAAAACGCCTCAAGGGACAATCATTTATTACCTGCAAATCGACACAACACATCCCAACAATACAGCCATGCTTCATGTCATCGGTCCCTCATAAACTGATATGATTGTTGTGTAGAACCAAAGCCATAGTTCAACAATAAGTCAGAGCCTCTTTCCCCAACATTTTTTACAATGTGCAAATAGGTACAAGCAATGGAAAAGTGCCAAGTAAAAAATGAATCTCCCGCTGCTACGTTGAAAACCAAACATTGTTGACCCTGTCTCTAAGCTTCCTTCATCCTCATAGCAGTCTTTTTATTTTTTTAAAAATAGCAGCTACTGGTTTATGTGAGCATTTAAACAGTAACGACATGTTTCAAAGACCTTCTGTCAGGTATGAGAGCCATCATGGCACCGAGGCAGCACTACTGCAAGTCACCCAAGACATTCTCATTGCCTCAGATAACACAATTATGTCTATATCACACTGTCAGAGTTCGATAATTGATAACACAATTATGTCAGGATGGCTCAGACGTGCTGCAGGGATCAAGGGAGCAGAACTGGGCTGGTTGATGTCGCATGTATCCAACAGATTCCAGACTGCTTAGGGAAATGAGAAGTATTTACGCTGTGGGGGTTACTGGTGGAGCACCACAGGGTTTAGTACTTGGACCAGTTCTCTTTACTATATGCTTCCACTTGGTAAAATTATTATCAAGTGGGAATACCAATAATGAGCTTGCAGTTATTTTACTTTGCTCACAGTGAAATATAGAAAGCATACTTCAGATCCTGATCACTTTAAGATACTAACTAGCTGATTTTGAAGTTGGGGAGGAAGTTTCGAACATCAAATCTGCTTCTGACCTTTAGCCACAGAGCTGATTTTACGTTTCCAGAAGTTTTTAAAGGCGACAGAAGCCATTAAAAAAAAGTGCAACCTGGCTTTAAGTCAGCGTTCATGCTGTCTGCTACAGTTACAACATGTTGTCCTTCCTTCGACCTGCGAGTAACACAATATTGCAAAAGAACAAAATAATAAGGCACCTACAGAAATAGCTGAACACCGTTTGATCCAGCGTTACAGTCATGATCACTTTTTTCCCAGCAGAAGGTAAGATGAGATTCGCGTCCAGACATTCTCAGGACGTTGGTGGAATTTCATTTGTTCGGATTTATTTTTGGGGAAAAAAAAAAAAAAAAACATGTAATGGTATATCTGAATGAAAACGCGATTATATTAGAATGAAATACTCATTCAAACACAAATTATGAACTCAAAATAACATTTCTTGCATGTTGTTTTCCCATGAGCACAAACAGGACAAGCGAGCGCGCTGCCATTTTGTTCTTTCTTCACTCAAATCGTCTAGAATCGTCTAAATTGATCAGCTGTTCCACTTGAATGGACATCAATGAGGTTGGCGATTCAAAGTAAAGGGAAGGACTGACGGTTTAACCTGAGACCGTGTTGCAACGTGCTCACAACAATGAAGCTAAATCGAAGAATTTGATTTATTTAGGGATTTTCTTTCAAGTGAAACTGATTTTTTTTAAATTCACATATTTTAGGAATGACTTTGAGAACTTCATTCTATAACGCATGGTGTAGAACACAGGACTGCAGCCATTGAACCATATGACGTAGCCCATTTTAATTGTTCATGTCTGTACAAAAGGTAAAATAATTACGACGAGACTAATATTACAAGGGAGGTCTTTGTGATGGAAACTGCACATATTTAAATATGTGCAGTTTTTTTTTCTAGTAGAAGAGTTTTCTTATTTCTCAAACCTAAAAACCTGCATAAAATTGGTATATTGTAGATCTTGTAATATTAAATCATATTACATCATTCAAATTCAGATTTTTCCATTTCATTTTTTGGGCTCTGGACAAATTTCCGTCAGTAGCTCTGAATGCAAAATCAGCAGTCTGTTACGTGGAGGTCGGTGACCTCTGGATGAGACGAGTCTGCGGCGATTCGTTCCCTTTTTTTTTTTTTTTTTTTTTTACAAGATGTCAAACTTGCATTAGCAAGGAATAACGTGTCCCAGCTCTGCTCGGGCACAGAGGAGTTCACGATGGAACAATCATCGAGTGAAAATCAATCATGACTTTACTGCAAATCTTCCGACCCATTTTACGAATCTTTCTCCATCTTGAACAGTTATGTTTTTTTTTTCTTCAGCCCCACTGAAACAACACTTTATAAAAAAATTGGTTGTATTACCAACTATAGATGGAAGTCTGTCAGACTGTGTCCTTTGCACACATGGAGTTTTTGCTTCCACCACCTCTGAGTTGAGGGACTTTCTAGGAAAGCAGATGAAATCCGGAAGAAAAATTCAAGGGACCTGAAAACTTTTGGGGCCGTTTTTAAATATCCCCGTCTCTTCCCAGTAATAGATAGTTGCTTTTTATAGCCAGTTGCCACTGACTGAAACATCCCACAGGCGGGTATGAACTCAGATGCACTCACTGCAGACTCTTCCTTCTCAAAACTGCAAAACTGGGAACAAAATGGCAAATAAAACAGCCTCCTGTTGTAGATGCCCACACAGCACAGATATATAGACGACCCATGAGGTTCATAAAAACCCGTCTTGAAAGGTGAAATTTACACACACAAGACGTATGACTTTTGTTCCATCAACATTTTATTGGGTTAAAATAAGCATGAATGTTTGAATGAAACCTGTGGTGGCAATGAAATCAAATTGAGGCAACTGCATCAAATTTTATGCATATATATTTTGGTACTTTAGGCATAAGAAATGAGTAAATAGATTTTTAGCTTATGTGACATTGCATGTTAATGGTTTGTTTCAGGTTTATTGCAGTAATTTTTTCTGTGCATGTGACAAACCAAAGGTAGTTTGGGCAAGGAAATGTAAAGATGGACGAAACTGTTCGGAGTTGGGAGCTAAAATCCCACTATTGCTGAGGTTCGGCGGTCCAGTCAGGTATGGAAAAAGTCTTGGACTGTCTTTTTTGCTCGCCTATAGTGTAGTCCACGTGGATGCATATGTGCCTGGAGCTGTCCTCGGAGGGAAACATGCTGACCTCTCCGCGAACCGGCGTGTCCTGCACCACCTCCACGGGGGAGTCCAGGTACAGCACCGCCTGCTTCCAGTGGGTCTCCGGCTTGAACGGGGACGTGGACAGAACGAGCGAGAGCGGCTTTTCCGGGCAGGGAAAGGTCACCGCGAAGTAGACGCAGAAGGCGTTCACCGCGGCCGAGCCGAACGACGCGCACGCGAAGCGGCCCTTCACCGTCCGCAGCTCCTCTGCCGTCACCGCGTGCAGGTCGAGCTCGGCGAAGCGCGCGGGGTGGGAGAGCACGTCCTCCACGGCCACGGCGCTCACGGTTATGTCCGAATTCCTGATGCACCTCCGAGCGAAGTGGGACATGCAGGACATGTCGACGCCGTACTGCTCCTTGACGGTGTACCAGAAGTACAGGCGGTCCTCCACCACCGGGTCGCTGATGGGGGTGATGTAGAGCTCGGCTCGGCTCGGCAGGATGAGTCCGCCGGCCTCCAGCCACCTGTCGCGAGCGCAGAGCACCGAGTTGAGCATGGACTCGTGCAGCAGAGCGTAGCCCATCCACTCGCTCACTATCACCGCCACCTTCTCCGGCAGCTCCACCGTCTCCACGGTGCCTCTTATGACTTCCACCACGTCCTCCACGTTGTTCTGCTTCACTATCTCCGCCGCCTGCTCGGCTATGGAGCAGGCCTCCACGGCGTACACCTTCTTGGCGCCGGCTTGAGCGCAGAAGATGCTTAAGACGCCGGTTCCTGCCCCGACATCCAGCACCACTTTACCTCGAATCGACTCGCTGTTCTTTAAAATAGCCGTCCGGTAGGCGTTGGTCCGGACGTGGTCCGCTATCATCTCTTCATGTATCGTCACATCAGAATAGCTGTCGAAATAAAGCCTGTCCTGTCGGGTTTTGTCCAGTTTTCTCTTCTTTCCAGCATAAGACATCCTGCTTCTCCCGTCGTGTGTTGCTGCTACTTTGTTGTGGCGTTTCCGCATTGTCGGATCTGGGACTTGTAGTTCTTTATTGGGCACAATGAGGGCGATTCGATGTAAACTGGACTACAATTACCACAAGCAAGCGGGAGTCGAGTTCCGTTTAGGTGGCGCACTAGAGTTCCTGCCTGAAAATATAAATAATGAGAACAAAAAATATACATTCTTAGTTTTCTTGATTCTTCTATTTTAAAGATTAAAAAAGATTATAAAATGACATAAAAACAACTAATCCATATTTTCAATATAAGATTTAGAAAATCAATATATCTCTATCTATCTATCTATCTATCTATCTATCTATCTATCTATCTATCTATCTATCTATCTATCTATCTATCTATCTATCTATCTATCTATCTATCTATCTATCTATCTATCTATCAGTCAGAACAGGTTGTGTAAAAATGTAAGCTAGATTTGATCATGTTTGCAACAAATGCTCATTAAAAAGCAAAGACTCATAAATATATCTGCTCATTAAGTAGATTTCTCTACACATTTTATTTCTGTGTGGTATATGTCCTCTTATGATGAAAATTAATCATGAAGCAAATCTGTGAATTAATTTTTTTATTGTTATTTTTATTCTGATAAAGCAAAACAAAAATGATGCAATAGCAGCATTGAACTAGGCATGGGTAGATGTAAGATTTCCATTTGAGTAAAAATTACATCACTTGATCGAATGTAATGTAAATCAGAGAATCAACACAATATTTTGCTAGTGGAATTATGTCAAATTTGATCGGTATTGGTGCAAAAATCTGCTAACATTTACTTGTTATTTAAATTTTTAGACATTGAGACGTTTTAGACTTTGGAGCCAATAAATTCAAATAAGATAAAGTTACTATTTCTTGCTTATTTTAGTCCACCAACTCTTACTTTACGGTCATTTTTAAAACTGTAAGCACATTTCATAGGAGGAAAAACAATTACTTATCAGTATCTGACTGTGCATCAATTGCACACTGTATTTTAAATGATTATGCATGTTAAAAACGACAACACAAGCACTCTACACATTACAAAATCAGCATCAGAATGTTGATTCGGCACCTTACGTCGCTGCCTTTCAGAGCTTACCCGTGTCTGAATGGCACGTCTTCAATGTCCGTCCTGTAAATGCAGAACACAAAGTGCTCATTATCATTTCAGAACCGTCCCCAACGGCGCAGTGGGCAGAGCACAGCTGCTTGTGGCTTGGCTCAGCCCCCGTGGGACTCTCTCCACTCCGTTTCAGAGATCTTTGGCACACACACACACACACACACACACACAAAAAACAGACGCAGGACAAACGAGAAGGAAACTGTATCCAATTTCATGAAGGGGAAAAACCGAACAAAGGAAGCACTGGTGTTGAGAGGAGGTGGAAGATGCCGGCTGGCTTGTGCCTTTCAACTCTGCCCAGTTTAACACATGACAAAGGGAATGTCACTGAAATGCAGGACAAACAGAAAGTTACATGCAGCGTCTTGAAGGGATACACTGAAACAATGTATTTTACTGAAATTTTATGCAGCAAACCTGCACAAAATCCTGCCTGCATATGAAGTTGAAGAAAAACGAGGATCTGTGGTTTTCCTTTATCTTTTAAAAATACAAATCTGGAGAGAATGGTGTGTCTTTACTTTACTTTGACACTGCTAAATAAAATCAACAGCAAACAGCTGCATTTGAAAGCCACATAATTTGTAACAGAGTTCACCTGAATGCGATTTAATCCCAGAATACAGCTGTCAGTGAAATTATTAATCACAACTGAAGCTATTGTGTCCTGTAGCTCAGCAGGTGAAGAAGACAACAAACGTAACTACAAGGAAGCATGGTCCTGGCTCAGTGATGCTATGGGATGACCTCGCTTCCTCTGAAAACCTACAGCATTTGGAAGGTGCTATGGCTTCTATAAAGCAAAAAAGAAATCATGGACAAAAACATATCGTCAGTCGTCCTGAGTTCAAATCTATGAAAAAACTGAATCAATTCGAAAGACATTCCAGCACTGGAACCCATGAATGACAGAGAACCAGCGGCTTTTATCCACAAATGCTAGCAGAAGATGGTATCTAATCATCTTAAACCTGTATTCGTTTTTAATATAAAGGCACTTTTGATAATCTACTTATAATATTAACTTTTTCAAGCAATTCAGACGACTTATCTGTGATTAGAGGTGGCATCACCAATTTCATTTTGTGGGTTTATGCTCTTCGTTTACTGGTGTTGAAGAGTTTTTGGTGCAATTTTAACTGCAGCCGGAACATAGCATCGTGCTGTCACAATTTTTGTTCTTATCCTGCAAAAATGCAGCCAGACGGTGGCTGTGATGAGACAAAGAAGATGCAAGTCAAGTTCCTGGGATGTGAATACTTTCACAAACCACTGTAGATCCCCGTGCGTCATGACTCGGGGACAGCCGGGTGTTTGTACTCGCATGCACTTGAATCCGCAGAATGGATTTCATTATTCCAAACTATAGAACAGAGAAATGGCCAATATGGTTTCAGCTCGAGTAATCAAAGAGAGGCAAACATCCAGGGAAAGAGACCAAACACCGACTCTGCATTCTTAGCGCTCGCTTTCTCGCTGTTGGATGCAATTTTCGTGGCGAATCAGACACACAATAATACGCGGTGTAATCTATGAAAAAAAAAAATAGAAAAGAAAAAAAGAGCCAAATATCAAAGCTGGCCCCGTTCCGCGGGACGCGGACAACGAGGCAAAGGCAAAGTGTAAATATACAATAGGACGGATAAGTCCAACGCTAAACACAGACCGAGGCAGCTGGCAGGAGGGGGTTTGCAGGTGTTGCAGAACAAACAGACAAGCAGCTGTTGATTTTCCTCTCAGGCTTTTTTGGCCAGAGCGCTGCCAGGTCCAGACACGCAGCCAACACCCGCCTCCCAAGGAGACGGCGGCCACGGCTTTCTTTGATTCCTCGGATCTGTGCGTGTGTTGGTATCTGCAGTCAGAGGAATCCGCTGCTTTCTGCATCGTAACGTGGTTCGGTCGTATCTGCATGAGAACGAACCACACAGGTGATGAGAAACAACATGAGCTACGTCCTCCTTTTATGTGCACAACTGTCCGGTGTTATATTTGAAAGGAGCAAAACGGACCAGATGAAAAGATGTGAGAAAAATAAAGATTCTCTTGCAAACAGTGATAAACAACCTTGTTGCATAACTTTGTATGGGTATGGTCATCCCCATAGGTTTATCTATTTTTTTTTAATTATACCAACAAATTTCAATGTATTTCTTTAGGAATTTGTAATAAACCTCAAATTATGACAGAATTGCATAGCAGAAGGGAAATGACCGGACATTCTCAAATGTTTTTCCTTATAAAAATCTGAAAAGAGTCCCTTGATTTAAATGCCCCTAAATAAAAATCCACCTCACCTTTTGAACTGAACTGAATAAAGTTGCATGCATGTAAATTAGGGTGAGAAGGTGAAAGTGAGGCAGCTGTTGGAGGTTGGTACCATTAGCGGTCAGCGTGCACGGCCTTATGGGAGCAGCATGCTCACCGTGATGCCGTCTCACCCTCACGTGTGTCTAAGCTGGACCTGATCTGAGTACATGCCATGCACAGAGTATAGAAGACGTACAGACGCAGGAGCGTATCCAGCCTCAGCCATCGCTTTAGAAGCCATGATCACCCATTTTAGAGGAAGGCGGGCAGCTAAGAAACAAATACTAAGGAGCAATGGCTTCTCATTGATCCCTGTTCCCGGGGATCAATATTGTGCTACTTTGATATCTCTCTGCCAGACACAGAGCCCGCATCTGTAAATGGCGGTGTGTCATAACACACATTTTTTATTCAACTCCTTATTCTTCCCCCATTTTCTCCCAGCAAGCAGAGCTGATCTCAAGCAAAAACTGGGTTTCACGCGCCGATCCATTTGGACGCTTCCTCCAACGGTGTGTTATCTTGTTTCGCGTTTTGACATCTTCCTGCATGGACAGCGGTGTGCGTGGGCATGTGTGTGTGTGTGTGTGTGTAGGTGTGTGTGTGTGTGTGTGTGAGCCGTTCCTTATCAGCGGAAAGGTTTTAACAATGGGTGGAGGGAACATTTTCAGCTCCAGGAGTTTCCTTCGATTTGGTCGCGAAAACATCTCAGACCCACCATTCTTCCGTTCGACCGCTTCGACCAATCAGGATGTTGACCTGTCATTTCAGACTCCCAGCAATCAGCTCATTAATTACACCCGCCTGCTCCCCTACTGATTCCCTTCCCCTATGCTTCACAAGTATCTGTTACATTGGCCTGCAATTAGATTAAATTACAAAGTACAACCTGCACATGACAGGAATTATGGCTGCAGCACGGGGTCATAATGCTGACTCCCCCGACCGACGCATTATGCAGTTTACAAACTGGTGATATTGTCTGTTTTTTTGTTGCATTTTTTTTCTTCTTTATATAATGTCGGTTATTTGAGGAGGAGAGTCTGTGCTCGTTCTGTTAAAAACTCTCTGAGAAGAAATCCCAGCTCTTCAGAGTTGGGGTTTCTGCTTTCAAAAAAGCTTGAAAGTAAAACTCCACAACGTCCTGGAGACGAAAGAGAAAAAAACAAATTTGAAAAAAAAAAGAGAGAAAAAAATTATTGATCTGTCAGTCTTTGGGGGCACGGTTTGACATTTTGGGAAGAGCACTTGAGCACTTTCTAAATAAAAGCTATAGAAGTGGATTGTATTGAAAATGTTGAGGGTTTGACTTTATGGGTGTTGAAAGCAGAGTGTATCTCTAATCTATATGGCGCTACTGATTGGTCGAGCTTGTAAATGTTGGAAAACGTCTCCAAGGAGTAAATACGGCACTCAAACGCCGTATTACAGATTATTGGTGTTTAGTTTAGACTCTGAATGTTTCAGAGCGTTCAACAGAAGCACCTTGGTAAATTAGAAAATCCTTCAAAAGTAAATTTATTTCTCTAATTGTCGTCAAAAAGCGAAACCAACAGAATAATGGTCGCTGTCGAACAAAAACAGAGAGTTGCTGATGTGTTATTGCGGAATCCAACTGTTTTAATGGAAAGTTTGGTGGAAGGAAAAAGGTGCAAACAAGATGGTTCACCATGAGAAATCTCGATCAAAACTTCAGCAGAGATTCGCAAAGTATGAGCTGCAACTGGACACAAAGAGCCAACATACACACACAAATATAAAATCAAAAAGATTTTACCTGAGTTACTGAGATAAAAAGATTGTAAAGTGAAAGAAATAGGTCAAATTTGTATTTCACTTGGAAATAAAGTCCCTAGAGGGAGACTATAGAGCTTTAGTTCAAGTTGAGGAAAGTCCAGTGTGATTTTTTTTTATGTATATTTTTATTTTTGGCTTTATTTCTTAAGAAAACTGAGAAGCCATGCGAGTATCAAGGCAAACAGATCGCTCATGTCACAGATTGTAAATATTCCCACTCAATTCTAAAATGCTTCAAAGTTGTTTTCTCGCGGCTTCTCAACAGAGGTTCTTGACACCTTTGTTTCTGTCAATGCCGAATCAGGACGAGTGCTGTTGATTGTCTCCAATTTGATCGCCGACCATTAAAAGTCCAACAGCAATTCAATCTCACCTTCTGTAATTTTCCCTGAAAGCTGTATAATTCTCCGGCGATGCGCAGGGAGCACGCAACTCGTGGCAAAGGGCAATAAGCTGCTAATATGCAGAAAGACTTTTTAGTTTTTTTTCTCCCAGACATGGGATCGATCCCTTTAGCCAAAGAGAATCGTCGTTTGCTCATTTGTTCAGAATGAACATGTGGATGTTTCACAACTGCAGGGAAACATCCTGCGTAACCTTCAGATTCATTCCTGCTTTGTTGTTTTTGTTTTTCTTCCTTACGGCTTTGGCTCTCCATATGTCTGCATTACTGTTCTGAGGTATGACAACGTGCTGAATCTGCAAATTACAAACCATATTTACCCCCCAAAAAGCAAGCAGATAAACAGAGGGCAATTTGAAAACACTGACACTTGCGAACGGCAGGAGTGGCGAAACGTGGAAGAGATGCGATATCGTGACACGTTGAGCAATCTTCTCTCATTCAAATGTCTGCGCTGCTTTGAGTGCTCACTTATTTGCGGCTTTGCTTTAAGGTGACACCGCGTCGCCGAGTGAGCGCTCTCAACTTCATTTGTGTTCATTTCCCCTCTCGATGGATAGACCTCGAGAGGAGGGCCTGGTGATAAGATCCTCCCGGTTTGTTCTTCGGGGGCTGACCTTGGGCGCTGCAAAGTAAAAGGAAAGAGACAAAAAGAAAAAAAGAAAAAAAAGAGGAAGAAAAATCGATGCTTTTTCAGGGGGACAGACGGCAGTGTTCGCTTTCCGTTAGGGCGCTGTGCATCTTGGACCAGACAAGAGTGAGGAGGGGAAAACCTGTTAGTCAGAGCCTGACAGAGGAGGGTTAATCTGAACAGACAGCCGCAGACACACACGGGCACAAACAGGGCGGATGATACAGTACGGGTCACCGGTGGCGGCGGGTAAAGCTTTATTTACCCCAAATCAATCCTGGGTTTTGTTGAAAGAGGAAGCAACATTTCACGGCACGCCATTAAAGCTATCATGCCGCATATTATGAAAGGTAGCCGCTGTCTTTTTTTTTTTTAAGCTACCCTCTTCTGAGTGGAAAACTAGACAGAACAAAGCAAATGAGCACCGGTCAACTTTTAAGGACGCAATGTTGCTGAGACGGGAATCGGAGTCGTCAATGATCGATAAAAATCAGACCTCAATTGCGCTCTAGCACTGTGATTGATCATTGTGCTTAACTTTGTAAGCTTGAAACGTAAATGCAAAAAGAAGAAAACAAAAGAAAAACTGTCTCAAACCAAACATGTCAGTTTTCCAGGTTTTTATATTCAAGAAGTTTTTTTTTCCTCCTATTTTTAAGTCTTTTTGTTTCACACATAATTTAGAAATGTTAACTTACAAGCTGGTTGTGGAAAGACAGTTCGCCGTTGCAGCAAGCAGGGTAATGTCCGTCACAGTGTTTTGTTTTGTTGTTTTTTTTTCTTGAAGGTTCTTTCAGCACAACTGGACTTTTAAAATAGTAATCTAAAGAAGGAAAGGCACGCAGCAAAGAAACTCAATGCAGCTCTGCATTGTTGAGCAACGCGCTGATTCAAACAAGCTAACTTTCACTTTTTAGGTCAAAATGGTTCATGTTGACAAACCTTATGAAAATGTAATTGGATGTGACAGTTTATCTCTCTCGACTTTATTTCTGTTTTTTGGTTCCACTGCCTTCAAAAAAGAAATCAAACCAAAATTGTTGACTTTATGAAAAAATTTGAACTCCTAAAAACACATGGAGGCATTGCAGTAGACAAGGACCACGACTTTGAACGCGACTCGTCATGTGCAAAACGGGTATCATAGGACTCATATCGTACAGAAATGAGCTGAAAGGCTTATTTTTGGAAAACCACCACTCCGTTCAATAAGAGTCTTTCCCTTCATGAGGTTGGCGATCAGCTGTGTTGCTTCAAATGAAATCCTATTGACGGGTCAGATCACATCCGTCCCCCGCTCAGACGGATGTGTCGAACAATTGCACCGACTTGTACTGTATTCGTCCCCGTTGTGTCTTTTGTATTTCTGAGAGAATCACATCCAGGCAGGGTTAGTGCACACAAGACACACTTTTAACGACAGACAGATGGACGACCCAACGGAGCCGCGTAATGTGAAGAATCTCTATTTTTATATTTAAAAATTAAAACCAATTCGAGGTCTCGCGATAAAACGCGATTGCAAAATAGATTTCCGAGCCTTTTTCTTTTTCTGAATAAAGCAATACCACTTTGTGCTTTACTCTTACCCAGCTGCATTATAAGGGAGCCGCTGACTGAGGGCGGACGGGGGGAGATTTAGCTGTACAGTATTGCTTTCCTCCAACCAAATCAGAAAATCCATTAAAGCACATTAGCACAACTGCTAATTGCAAGGCCGTGTGTGTCTAATTGCACACATTGATCCGTCCACAGCCTTCCCACTGTTCAGATGGAATTGTGAAATTAAAGACCGAAAGTGGACAGATAAAGGATTTCGCTTCGCGCTCGCCCGCAGAATTTATATGCGATCAAAATAAGTTCCCTGGTTCTGCTTGTGTAAACCAGAGCTGAGATTGATCGCCTGTCACTGCGGAGGGATATGCGTCGCTTCAAATCTGCGTCGAAAATACAGAAATTCAGACAACGTCCCGTTTTTTGCTAAACTTAAAAGAAGTGGAGGAAGACGGTGGGATTTTGTTGTTCAGTCGACAAAATTTTCTCTAGTGATACGTTAGCATTTCTTAACACGAACCTATCCAACAAAGTAGTGTACTAACGGAAAACCCGATATTAGGAATTTTATCTACATGAAACTCGTTTTATAGGTTAGCGTCACAGATGGATGATTGACAGCCTTAATTTCTGATAATTATGATTTTCTGTTCAATTAATGAAAACCAATTGAAAAGCTATTTTAAGGTTTAAAGTTTGCTATTTTCAAAAGGTACCTTTAAACCGACAAACGAGAATCGTTGGGCTTTAGTTTATTGAATATAACTGCATATTACAAGTTAAATCTGCAGCGAGCGATGAAAATCTCTGGAAGAAAAGCAAAAAGTCAAAATACCAACCACTTCCTGGTTCACATTTCAGATTACAAAGCATTTATGTCCAGCGTGGCCTTAGATGAACCGGGCAACTCAGACCGGCCCCGGCTTCGATGTTGTGTTGGTAAAGATCAGACAGAACATCTGTGGAGTCAGCTGTCAGGCTTTCCTGAGATCATACTGTGACTATTGGAGCTGGGGGAAATCTGATTTTGGCCTCACTTTGGATGAGAAGCGATGGGCGCGCGCGACAAACATTAACAAAATCAATCTGTAGCAAGATTGAATTTTAGCCACCATCTGGATATTTTTCGCCACTTTAGATAATAATGAATGGCATCAAAGCACTAAGCCACGATTACAGCATACAGATGTATTCCAGTGTAATCTATTATTGTGAAGTGGAATGGGCATCTAGAGTCTGACATTTTAAACGAATCTCTTTCACAATGTGTTAAATTGTTTGCGGTATTGTGTTTTCCTGCCACAAAGTGCCAGTTTATAGCACAATTAAGTACTTATATCACCTTCAATTGTTATAAGATTTTTGCATGTGAAACATGACTTGTTAGAAATTTGACTTTGTAATTTAACACCTTTAAATTGAGTCTCTGTCTCTTTCAGAAGCTCCAGCTAGAAGTCATCACAACAACAAACTTCCATAGTCAGAAACAGGTCGTACAATGAGCCCGGCAGATGCACAGTTCCACCAGGTGCTTGCTAATTGCCTCTGGCTAGTCTGAAGGAGCCGAGCCCGGGAGACGCCGGAGAGGGATGCTCTGTGACACAGGAGCTCGGCTTGGAAACTGCAGCTGCACCAAACGTTTTTCGACCCGAATGGTTGCCGTGGGAGATTAAAGGATTTTTTCAAACGTGCATGGAAGAATCAAAGCAACTCTCCAAAAACTCTCCATGCATGTTTTTGATGACATAATTTCACAAAGTGATGTGAAGCACATAGAAGAGGATTTGACATAAAATGACTGAAAAAACCAAACATAATTTCATACTTTTGGCCCATCACGTAAAACATTAGAGGTTGCGTTTGTAACACAAGGGGCGAGAATAATAACTTTACAAGACAGTGAGGCTGACCTGAGTCAATCAATGAGCTAAATTAGATCCTTCTCCAATATGAAGAACTGCATCAGGACGTATGTGATCATAGTGAAGCTTCACCCAGTCCAGACCAGGTGATCTTGGCCATGCCACCGTAGCTGCTTCCTTCCAGGAGAGACCTATTGTAAAAGTCTCAGACTCGCCGCTCCTCAGGTAGAACCACTTCACTACGTACTTATTTCCAAACGATTACATCATCTATCCAAAGCAATGCCCTGCACAAGTACCTTCGCTCTGTCCCCTAATTGGCAAGGCAGCGAGTGCCTGAGGGGACATTACACTACATTCCTAAATAGCAACTCCGGCCCACTGAACAGGACATTTAGTTAAAGCTGGCCATTCTCCGTCCCTGGAGAGCCAGTAAGGCGTTTGCCTCACCGCCTAGAAGAGAAGTGCAAAGACGTACAATATGCTCCAGATGACAGGCTTGTTGTGCGTCGAGGTCCCTGGATGCAGTGGTGATGGCAGGACGCGCAGCGTGGAGCTATGTCATGCCCCGCTGTATCTCGCTAATAAGCTGTAAGTAAGAGCCTGAGCGCCACTCACCGCTTTTTCTCTGTTTTATTAGCAGCATAATAAGGAAACATTCAGCCGGACGGAGTTTCCTTTAAAAGCTATGGAAAAACTCGCCCCCAAGCCGCCTCTCCTCACCGTTACCCTGCCCTACCCCACCCCTGGAGCTTAGCTTGTTTACCAGCATTGTTCGGCACGAGACGGAGGCAAATTGCAGGCAGGGCCACGGCGCACTCCCAGTGAACCTGTGTTTATGCAATAAATCAATGGGAACTCATGCTGGCATTTTCCGTCTCAAAAAATAATGCTGCTCAAGGTGAACTGGATGGGGGGGGGGAAGGAACAAAAAAAAGTTGAAAGTTTCCGCCTCGCCTCCGTTGTTCAATTAGTTCATTCGATACAACGTAGCATGAAGAAAACATTATTTGTTTTTGTCTTATTTTTGTTTCTCTTTCAGGGCTGAAAGTAGTTATATATTGATAGAATCGTAACCTATTCCACATGCAACAACACGCAGCACATCCGGAAGCCTTAGCATTCATATTCATGTTGGTTCAGTGGAGCCACACTTCTCTGCTTTTCCAGCAGCACGTTGCTAAAAGTTGCTTTGACCAGGTTCATATCAAAGTTTCTGGATGAAACCTGAGGGGGGGAAGAAAGTTCTGAAAAGAACGTGCGAGTCTAAAACGTAGCTCAAATATTTCTTTGATCAAGTTTTAATCCCCAGTTCACCTTCACATTCTCCCATCTGATCTTAGCTGGACGCTGACCGTAAGGCGAAAGCGCTGACCACCACTCGATCGTCTCGCCTGCAGGATCAAACCCTGAGTCGTACCTAAACGCGCTCAGGAGTGTCAAAATTGCACTGGATTTCGTAGACTCTCAGTTTAAACCCCACCAGCTCAAAGTCTGGACACAAACTAAAGAAAAAAAAGAGAGGAGTGCACTGTGAAGAAGTATTTAATTATTCACAAGGCACCCAAATGCAGCACGGTTTCACTTTAGATTTCTAATGAAACTGTGTCATCCCGGCAGCGACTTACCTGGTATTTGTTATCAATGATAATGGCTCCTAATGGTGCTTGGTTCTGACTAATAAGAACTTTTTTTTTTTTTTTTTTCACACACACAAAATGCTTCAGTTCAGCATTCTTACCTTGGCTGAAACCGGTTAAATTGTATTTCTTAGTGTGGGTCAAATGCAGCTGTCAGCACCAGCCTTAATGAAAACATTCCAGCGCAGATCTCTCTCCTTTTTTTTTTTTTTAAACAAAGTTTTGAATAAGCACTTGTTGGTTTTGCTTGTTTTGTGCAGGCACAATATTATTTTTTGCAATAAAAAGAGCCAATTATTACTTTTTTCTTTCAGTTTTTTGTTGAGAAAAGCGTTATTGAAATCTATTTTAGTTATAACTTATCCGTGCAGGTTTCATGGGGCTGGTGGTCGTCTCCAGTGGTCACTGGGAGACAGGAGTGGAGACGTGCACAAGGTGAACATTTTCAACATACCACTTTTGGTATGTTTAAAGCATTCCTATCATTTTATTTAAAAGTTTTCTCATTGTCTTTTGGGTTGTGCCACTTACAATCAGCAACAAACACCTTAAGGTGTTTTCACGCCTGATGGTCTGGTGTTGCAGCATTTGTTCCATTTTCAGCTGTGGTTTTCCTCACTACACTGTCAAAGCCCGTTTCCCTCTTCGCATGTGGCGGTGCTGCAACAAGAACCACAGAAAAAAAAAACACGACTCACTTCATAAAATGTCAACAATAAATGGAGTCGCGTCAGATTCTAGAGGTCGTAGGATTTCCCTACCATCTTTGGTGAAAGATTACGAGCGGACCAGCGTTGGCCTACAAACGCTGGTCTGCCTCGCCTACACATGTGCATTCACTCTGATGCACATGTGCACTTTGTGCTTGGTGCGCTTTGAAGTCAGACGCTTGACATTTTGCTCTAGACTTGCGTCAAAATCACTCCAGACACGTTGGAACGAGCCTTTGTTTTCTGCATAATGGCGGATGGAACTGAGAGCGACGCACACAGCCGAGTCTTTCTGGTCGATGCTCTGCGTTCAGCGGCACAAGTCCAGATCTTCCAACTCCAGCACGGGCTGCATTCGACATGCTGGATACACGTCGGAAGCTCAGAACGCTTCAACCGCACAGCGCTGGAGGCGCGAGATGCATCGTGCGTCCACATACACGCTGAATGTTCACCAGATGCTCCTGACTCTTGATTCCATCTGAATGTTAGTTGAGTGAAAATCCTTTTCAAAGTAAATCTGCCAGAAACATGAATACTTTTGCATTTACTGATTCCATGTTGTCTTTAACTTCACGGTCACACTTGCTTTGGATTTTATTTACCCTCACAGTAAATCTTCTTCCTTCAATTTGTGACGACCCTCACACTGCGAGATGTTCTACAATTTTTGGATGACAGATCTGATGAACCACTGCTTAACTTATTTTAGAGTCAATGGAAACTTCTGCAAGAAGAGGCTACATGTCTGCAAAAAAAAGCTTTGGTAAATATAGCTGTTATATTCGATGCATGATGCAATTCCTTAAGCCCCGGTTGTGCTTTGAGTTATTTTGAGTTATTGTGGAAACACGGAGAATGCCTCCATGGACGCGGCGGCAGCCTTTGTCACCTCGCATAACGAGACCTCGCCAACAGCCAATTGAATCGCTGCTTTAATGAATCCCCTCATTGAAAGGGCTTTGCCGCTTCTATGTGGCTCCAACGACTGGGACAAATTTGCCGGCCATTACCCGCTCAACCTGTCTACTATTTTCTTGTGATATTAAACTGAGAAAACAAATCACTATTTAAAAAAAAAAAATCTATCGTCAAATATATTCCAAGCTTTGCTTTTGTGTGTTTATATGGAAATCGTGGGGGAACAAGCTCGATCGGATCGTTGAGCTTCAATAAACGCACTCTGGAGGATTTCACGCAGCGCTAAGCAGCGCAGCGTGTAGTACGGTGAGAGTGGCTGAGCTCTGGTGTTGCTACATCGCACTTCCAAACGTATCTGATCAGCTGCATTAGTCATTTTTAATCCCTCTGCATTGTCATGCTAATGGAGTGACAGAAAGAAGTTCAGCAGAGCTTTGTGATCAGCAAACAAGCAATGGTCAGACAGACACGTTTCCTCCCACTCTGCACCGTCCTGTCTCTTCCTGTCCTGCACATGCCACAGGCTCTCTGCTTTCCTTCAAGGTGACTAATTTCATTTGCCTGATTTGACTGACCTTTGTTTCGATGATGATGACTTCCTGTCCTAATGCCTCGGTTAACGCAGCAAACAGAGCAAATTTATCCCTGCGACCAAAGCTTATTCTTTCAAAAGAAAACTGAGAAACAAAACATGATGCAAATCTGAACTCTAAATGATATTGAAAAAAAAAAATCACATTTCTCCTCAGTTCTTCACAATTGCTTACTCCATACAAGTTCCCCATGGATTCAGACACCCTGCAGAGTCTTTTGCTGCTTGATTTAATAGTTCAATTTTCCAATAGTGAAAAGACCTTACTTCTCTCAACACAATGAAATATGGGTAATGCTTTATTTGAAGGGTTGTGCATAAGACTGACACGAGGCTGTCATAAACACGACATTAAAAACCATGAACATGAATGAGTCTCCATAAATGATTTTGACTGGTGCCCTGAACTGTCATAATGACACCTTTAATCCGCAGTTCCGTTAAAATTTGCATTAAAGGTCCATTAAAAATGTCAACTTTGCCTGAAAAGTGTCATTAATTACAGAATGACACTTTGTGACAACCGTCATAAACATTCATAAAGACTCCTTCGTGTTCAGAACAGGTTTTTAAATGATGTTTATGACGATATTATGCCAGTCTTATGCACACCTCTTCAAATAAAGTGTCACCAAGTATGTAAGAATTTGGAAAAGCTAAAATAATGAAATATGTCGACCTCGCCGCCCTCCAAAACACTAACCTCCTTGACAGCATCATCCAGATTGCATTTCGAAAGGAATGTAAAAACAGACTCATATATATATAAGTGTTAGAAACCACAGTTGGCCCTCAAATTGTTCTGCGTAACTTAATAGTTCGTACATCAGAAAAAAATGGCTTGATATGCCATTAATATGGACAAAAGCTGTTATCTTAGAACTCCCGCAGAAGCCAACATCTACAGTGTGTGTTCTTACCAATCGTGGGGGGTGCAGCAACTCAAAACCAGGGAAAATGAACACTGCTCCTGTTAGCATGTAGCGCTGCAGTAGGTATTTCATCTGTCAACACTGCATTTTCTTTGCAGTATTAGAGATGCTTTCTACAAGAAATTGGCAAGAAGATACGATTTAAACAATTAGGAGTCGACTTCCACAGAAAAGTTTGTGAATACCGAACCGCGAATCGGCAACGTGATTACGCTAAACTTTAATACGTACTCTAACATGGAGTTTACTGATGTTGAGAATAAAATGTAAAACCAGTAAAGACTAGAATGTGCGCGTGTGTGTGTGTGTGCGTGTGTGTGTGCGAGTGTGTGGGTGCGTGTACGTGTGTGTGTGTGTCCCCTCTGGTCTCTACATAATATTCACAGCATGAACATCTGCACAGATGTTCATGCTGTGGTTTCCTGGTGGTTTATTTCAAAATAAAAGACCAAACTGCACTAAAAAACAGATTTTGGTTGAACTTTGTTTCCAAAAGTCGTTCTGTGACGCCTGAACAGACCTGGAGATACTTCAGTTCTGATTCAGTCATTCTTTATTATGTTTTTATCTGCAATTGTTCTTCCTGTCTTCATTTAATCTAAACTAATCCAATGAGCGGTGCATAAATAATTCATTGGATTACCTACTAATAATATTATGTATAATTTTTTAAAAACATTTTCCATCCATATGAGTGGGCATTACTTTAACTGTGAACACATTAATATTTTTGAGCAGTAAAATATCTGAAAACGTAAATATTTCTCCATGTTTGCTCAGATTTTGTTTTCATGTCTTGAGATAATCCACAGGATTGTTTTTAGGGATGAATGATATATCGGAACTGTAATCACTGTGGTTCTGTTGGGTCTCAGCGGGTCACAGGTGTGTGACGGTTAGTTGGCTGGCTGAATTTTCAGGTCAAAGGTCCTATGTTTACATATTGCTGGTGTTGGATGATTCTCGAACCACCTTATAGAACCAGGTAGCAGAAATAGAGCAGAAATTAAATATGTAAATATTTATGTTTTAATCATTTTCACCATGGAGGATTCAGGATGTATTTATGCTCTGATCTGCAGCATTTCAATATATTTTTTCTAATTAATTATCCATATTGTGATAATTGTCATTGTGGCATCTAGAAATGGACCAAAGTGTTGGGTAGGCCTGTCGCGATAAACGATAAATCAATTAATCACACGATAAATTAAAACTATCGACCTCATTTCAATTATCGGCTTTATCGTTTCTTCCTGCCTTTTTCTCTTATCAAAATGTTGATAAAATCAGAGAAAAATGTGGGGATCTGTTGATTTTTGTGTGAATTTTGCAGTTATTTTGAAAAGCATGTTCGGGCCTATTGTAATAATTTGGAGTCCAGAGGGCCACATAAAAAGCTGAGGCGGGCCAGATTTGGCCCTCGGGCCTTCAGTTTGACACATGTAGCATATATGATAATCTCATGTGAACTTTTTTCAATATCTGTTCTTTGGAAAGTTAATTTTACTGGTTCAGTCAAACATTTTATTTTATTTTGCGTAAAGAAAAAATCAGTGGGGAACAACATTTACAATAAAAAGATGTAAACATCATGGAAAAAGTAAAAAACTAAATGTATAATCTATAACGACTGATTTCTAAATCTCCAAAGGCAAAAGAAATTCTACAACTGCTAAAATCTGAGGCCTCCATTTTTATTTATGTTTAGTGAAGAAGGAAGTTGTGCTCAGTTTCTTCTTCAGAGATTCTCCAAGGACAGTGGGTAATCTGGACTAGCAGCCAGAACCCGACCCAAACCCATATGTAGAGGGAGAGGCTATCCTCTTGGTGCATTGGGGTGAACAAGATGGGAGGCAACAAATATGCCCCCTCCTGCCCAGCGCCTCTCACAAGGGGCAACACCAGAGTAGAGAACATCCAACCCCTTTCAAGAAGACTTGCTCCAGAACCAGAACCGTCCACTGAAGTCAGTCTATTTCTAGCCGGAACCTCTCAATCTCACCCCACAGGTGGTGAACAGATTGGCTCTCATTGGGCTGAGCCCGGCCTGGATCCATGGGTTAAAACCCGGCCCGGTTGGGCTCCATGGGTTAAAACCCGACCTGGATCCATGGGTTAAAACCCGGCCCGGTTGGGCTCCATGGGTTAAAACCCGACCTGGATCCATGGGTTAAAACCCGGTTGGGCTCCATGGGTTAAGGCCCGGTTGGGCTCCATGGGTTAAGGCCCGGTTGGGCTCCATGGGTTAAAACCCGGTTGGGCTCCATGGGTTAAGGCCCGGTTGGGCTCCATGGGTTAAGGCCCGGTTGGGCTCCATGGGTTAAGGCCCGGTTGGGCTCCATGGGTTAAGGCCCGGTTGGGCTCCATGGGCCCCCAGGCCTCTCCAGAGTGGGACCCCATGTTCGGGCGAATACGACCCCTGTTTCCAATGGTCGTATTGATCATATGGGATCTTTGGGCTGCACTTGGTCTGGTTCCTCACATTGGACCCGTCTGCATCGGGTGGCCCAACCAGAGGCATGAAGCCCCGACAGCAGAACTCCTAGGATCACTGGGACACTCAAATCCCCCCACCACAATAAGGTGGCAGCCATGGAGGGGACGTTAAAATGTGCATGTATGTGTGAAACTGTATGAATATTAAGTAACCTATAAATTATGTAAGAAAGGGAGGAAATGAGAGAAGAAGAATGTTGTTTTTTAACATAATAATGTGGTGCAAAGACGTTCTTCTGCCTTTTTCTCTTACTGTTGATGACACTGAATGAAACTCCGCTGCTCTCCACTGACCCTCCCTTCCTTACTTCCTTAGCGTAATGCCCAGCGCGCGCTGCACCATCTGATGTCGCCGATTGTCGGCCCATTATCAAAACCTGAGACACATCAGCCGACAGAAATCCTGGCTATAACGGTTCGATCGAACCGTATTGTGTCCAACAATGGACACAAAATAATAAATCCAGTTCACTAATATTGAAACCAGGCATTAATCAATTCCTTACTACAATCTACCAGCAATGCATGTAGCGAGTGTCAGTCTGACTGAATGAAAATCATTATAACCATTTTATGTCACCTTAACAAAGAACAGCTGAAAAGTTACCAGGTTTTCTGGTAGAAATTTCGCTCCAACTCCTCCCCGAGTTATTTATATTTTCTTTGCATGAAATGTTGAATAAACATTCATGTTTCCACATATCATCTCCGATGTCTGCTGGACTTGGGGTTGCACCGTGTCAGCTGTTCGGGATTCCTCTCTGTGTTGTTTTGAAAGTAAAGTGTATCTATCTGTGGCAGGAAGTCGCATGTCTTATTACGTCATTTCCATTAAATCAGTGTGAAAAGGTCTTCTAACAATGTTATAGTTTATCGCGATAATTTTTTGAGACGATTAAATCGCTCAGTAAAATCTGGTATCATGACAGGCCGAATCGCGACAGGCCTCGTTTTTTATTGAATTCACTCCTGTGTTGTTTTTTTTGTCTTCTTCAATCTAAAGATGTTTCTTATTTTTTTCAAAATGGAAGTCTTTGGTTTTTTCTTCTTTCCTTCTTGTTTGCTGTTCATATCTGGAATCTCTAAATCCTGCTGGATGCTTTCCTCATCGATGTCGTCTTGTGTGGATTCCAGATCATTTGAACAGCCTGGTATTGGTTCCCTTGCTAAATCCTCCTCCGAGTAAATATGATGACTAGAATCCATAACCGGGTCGACCCGGTTCTTTTCCTCCTCCTGTTGTGAAACTGTAGTTTGTAGATCTTCATGCTGGTCTTCCTCAGTGTCTGGTTGCAGTTTATCTCTGGTTGTCTCTAATTCTTGCTTCATTCTGCTTATTTCTCCCTGGAACTGCTCTGCCTGTGTCTTCAACATATTAACATCATGTATGTAAGAACATTGCAGCTCCTTAAACAAAACTCTGAGCGTCTCCAGTTCATCCTGTGCATTTCTGTCCTTGTCCTGGAGGACCTGGATTTCTCGCCGTGTGTTTTCCTCTAGGACGGCGTTTTCCTGTCGCAGGCTGTCGATGAGCTGCTGCTTCTCAGTCGCTGATTGTAATGAGGCGTCTTTCTCTTGTCGTACTTTCTCTTTACATCTTTCCATCTCCTCCTTCAATCCAGTAATATGCATGTTATATTTAAGTTTGAGCTTGTTGTAAAATGTTTTGCTCTCATCCAATTCTTTCTTTAAAATCTTTGCGTTGTTCTTCAGGAATTTGGTGTCCTGGTTTGCTTTGCGTTGGAGGATGGCGTACTCCTTTCTTATTTTCTCCACCAGCGCCGTGTCCTCTTCTGATTTGTCCATCAGAGTTTCTTTCTGTGTCTCCAGCTTTTCAAATTGTTCAATCAATACAGTGTAGTTTATTTCATGGATTACATTTTCTTTTCTTTCTTTGTAAAGAGCAGCTTCCTCTTTCTTTATTTTGTCTTTATAAATCTCCGCCTGCTTCTTTAACTCGTTTATTAATTTTGATTGTTCGTTTGTTCCACGTTTGCTCTCCTCAAGTTCGTCTTGTAAACGTTTTTCATTTTCTTGCAGGAGGTCGATCTTTTGGGTCATGTCATGTATGATCTTGTCTTTCTCCACTCTGAGCTTCTCCAGGCTCTGTTCCTCATGTAGTTTTGCCTCATCACCAACGTCTGCTTCGTATTTACGGCGCAGCTCCTCATACGAAGCCTTCAGGTCATCCAGCTTTTCTTCCAGGACTTTATTTCGCTGCTTCTCATCATGCATTTCTGCCAGCAGTGCGTCCTGGATGTGGAACTGAGCCACCTTTAAATCTTCATATTTTTGTTGCAGCTCCTCTTTATCCAGGTCTTCCACACTGAAGTGAGCCTGACAAGCAATAGCAACAACTTTCAGTGTTTCAGTGTCAGTATATCTCTGGAGTCTCTTCAACTCCTCAGTTGCTCTGTGGGCCTTGTTGAAAAAACCCACTTTGAGCTCCGTTGTTTCTGAGCTGGAATTTGGTTTCTTCCAGCTCTCCTCCAGGTGGGCAAGTCTGCGGTTCTGGTGTCTTTCTGTATTTTGAGACATTTTTATTTCAGTAAAATCACTAAAGTTTGTCGATTTCGAAACGAGTGAACGGTCGATTGGAAAGTGCTTTGCGGGCGTCTGAACTGGTCAGGGGTATTGCAAGCAATGACAAATATGCAGAATTGTGTTACATACGATTCTGCAGTTGATGACATC